CTCTCTCTCTCTCTCTCTCTCTCTCTCTCTCTCTCTCTCTCTTTGTGGTTCCCCGAGACCACACTGGCTCTCTCTCTCTCTGTGGTTCCCTGAAGCCTCTCTCTGTCGTTCCCTGAGATCACACTGGCTCCCACTCTGTGGTTCCCCGAGACCACACTGGCTCCTCAGCCATACACTTGGTGAAGACCTATGGAATCATGCTGCAGGAGGCCCACTTAACGAGGCTTTTTGTATACGCCCAACAATTTTCCTTCCAGCAGGCCTACATGTCAAACATTCTGACCGTATTCCAACGCGTTAGTTTCCGTAATGTTATGTAGCACATTACCCCCCCCCCTCCCCCATCGTTCGGTGTCCAATGACTGCATGTGTATAATTTGTGTTGCATTGGACAAATAAATACATTAACTGGATCCATCCTTCTCGACGAGGCAAGAGCGCGCTAAAAAAATTATCTCAGATAATAAGTTGTCAGATAATTTACAAATACACCTGGAACTCGATGGACAAGATCACAGTTCTCATTTCTCGTGTTTTAAATTAATGTATATTGTAGTTTCATGCATAGTTCAGCCTATGTAAAAAAAATTAAAGTGCATTGGTTAACGTTGATTTAGGCTGGAAATGAATGAAGCATAAATGGAGTCGTAGTTTCGAACAGTGAGATGTGCTTACATCCCGAAAATATTAGCCATGTGGCCGGACAGATTGCCTGGTAACTGTGTTCAACATTGTGAACTTGACCAGGGAACTATGAAGGGGAGATGCAATAAGCCCGTACGACTATATAGCACTTGGAAGGCATGTGAGGATAAAGAGCTGGAGTAAGACAGAGGGAAGGAATGGTTTTAGTTCTGCTATCCTTTAGAACATTGACCCAATGCTTGTTAATCCAACAGCAGTCCCACATGCTGATGAATTCAAAACCAGCTTCGAAGTTTGAATGTTCCAAGGTCACAAGTCAGGCTTGGCCTCGGGCCGGGCTTGGGGAGTAGAAGAGCTCCCACAGCCCCATCAAGCAGGTACCTCTATAAACCGTTCATACACGCTCTGTTGTGGAATGTTCAAACCTCCCCTCCACGATATTATTACGGCCTCACTTAAAAAAATACTGGAGTTTGACGGTGTTTTACAGCGCTATCGAAAATACATTCGATAGCGGACATTAATCCAGACATGAACATAAAGGCTTTTACTTATTTCAGATTGACTCTAGTCCTAGGGTTAGCACATGTTAGCCAAACACTTGGTACAATGATCACAATCGTTTGACTGCTTTCGGGCTCTTTTCTAGAGTACCTCTAGTACAGCTGCTCTAGAAAAGCAGAGGAGCAACAAGTACACTAAGAAACAGTTCTATGAACATTAAGAGCCAGAGACTCTCAATGTCTCTTAAGCGTAAGAGGCATAACTGGCCGACCTCTGACGGTGTTCCAAAGAGAACATGATAAAGATCTCCAAATGATACCCGATCAACCGGGCTGTGATTCACACGGTGAGTAATACTCTGTTGGTGAGGCTCGCAGGATGAGTAGATTGATTGATTGTTGCCGCCGGAGGCGGCTAATTTATTGTGCACCCCATACCCATCCTGTGAGTGGTAGCGCAAAAATCATTACAGAGGGCACAAAAGATAAATGTCGCACATATCCTTTCTTCATAAGAGTCGCGCGCATGCGTAGCTACTGCAATGGTAGACCCCTTACTCCCCTCACACGCTGTTGTAGTGGTAGCCCCCTTCACACGCTGCTGTAGTGGTAGCCCCCTTCACACGCTGCTGTAGTGGTAGCCCCCTTCACACGCTGCTGTAGTGGTAGCCCCCTTCGCACGCTGTTGTAGTGGTAGCCCCCTTCACATGCTGCTGTAGTGGTAGCCCCCTGCACACGCTGCTGTAGTGGTAGCCCCCTTCACATGCTGCTGTAGTGGTAGCCCCCGTCACACGCTGCTGTAGTGGTAGCCCCCTTCGCACGCTGCTGTAGTGGTAGCCCTCTTCACTTGCTGCTGTTGTGGTAGCAACCTTCACACGCTGCTGTAGTGGTAGCCCCCCATCCCCTCTCACGCTGTCCTAGTGTGAGGCTCACACTCACCAGCACAGTCGACTGCTTCTCTATCCAGTGCGCGACTCGCCAACAAATTTCCTGAAGTAAAAAGAATTTTCGGCTGAAATATTTAGACTGCCAAAGTTTTCGCTGATATAAGACAATGTTTTGTGTGCGAAGTTTGGTCAGTTTTGTTGAACGTCTCTTTTGTTTGTTTATTTTTATCTTGCGGCCTCGTGAGTTTAATGAAGATGTCTCATGAAGCACTGCGAGTTGCTCCCTTGTGTTGTTGTAGTTGGTTGATAATAAGTGTGACGTGGTGTACATTGGTGTGGTGAGGTGTACATGTGGGTGTGACGTGGTGTACATGGGTGTGGTGAGGTGTACATGTGGGTGTGGCGTGGTGTATATGGGTGTTGTCAGATGTTGAAGGGGTATTGGTAGGTGTCCTTGAGGTTGTTCAAGCATATTGTACACTCTTGAAGTGGTAGTACACAGACGATAAGTGAGGTGGACGTCACCAACTAAACCTGCGAGCATTATCCTAACCATAAGGGAGGGGGGGGGGGGACAGGTGTTGTACAGCATTCAGACATTTCGGCGAGGCTTCTAGCCAGACAACTTGGCCTGGTGTTGGAGAGACACCTGTCAATACCTGCACGGTAGTTGTTCTGAAGGTGCTTACCCCCTTCCGGATGGATATAAATGGTAAATGCCTCGTAAAGTCATCTGCAGCATCTTGATTCTTATATTATGTACTCTATCTATCTGGATTTGTGTCTTTCGTAAGCGCCTGATGTTATTTTATTGATTTTATTATCAAGACTCATGATTCGAGCCCACACTTGTGTTGGGGCACACTTGAGCCCCAGTCGTGTGTTGGGAATGGCTGTCAACTAAAACTTCTACAGGTTGTTTAGTACCTGTAGAGAGTGTGCAACCACAGCGGGGAGTATTGGTGGTGGAGGTGTTGGCTCCTGCTTGATGGGGTTCTGGGAGTTCTACTCACCAAGTCCGGCTTGACTTGTGAGAGCCTGGACTAATAGGCTGCTGATTGGAGCGGCCCGCAGGCCCACATATCCATCACAGCCCGGTTGGTTCGGCACTTCTTGAAGAAAATTATCTAGTTTTCTCTTGAAGATGCCCACGGCGTTTCCGGCAATATTCCTTATACTCGCTGGGAGGATGTTGAACAACCTTGGACCTCTGATGTTAGTACAGTGTTCTCTGGTTGTGCTTATGGGACCCCTGCTCTTCACTGGTTCTATTATGCATTTTCTTCCATATATTGAGGTTATCTTGAGAGGATTTCGGGGCTTAGCGTCCCCGCGGCCCGGTCCCCGACTTTTTGTTACACAGTTCCATCAAGCAGCCCGTAGCAGCTGTCCCAAGTACCTATTTACTGTTAGGTGAAAAGGCGCTTCAGGGTGAAAGAAACTGTCCATTTGTTATCGGATCGAGCCGAAATCTTCCGGGTCGAACCCGGAACCTTAGGACTAACAATCCCGAGCGCTGTCCACTCAGCCGTCAGGCCCCGTTCACTCCAGTATGTTGTTATTTTACTATGTAGATTTGGGACCTGGCCCTCCAGTATTTTCCACGTGTATATTATTTGATCTCTCTCGTCTCCTTTCTAGTGAGTACATTTGGAGAGATATAAGACGATCCCAATAATTTAGGAGCTTTATCGCGTCTATGCACGCCGTACATGTTCTCTGTATTCCCTCTATTCCAGCAACCTCTCCTGCTCTGAAGGGGGAAGTGAGTACTGAGCAGTACTCAAGTACAAGTGATTTGAACAGTACAACCATTGTGATGGGATCCCTGGATTTGACCGTTCTCGTAATCCATCCTATCATTTTTCAGGCTGATGCAATATTTGCTTGGTTATACGCCCTAAACATTAGGTCGTCAGACATCATTATTCCCAAATCCTTCACATGCTGCTTTCCTACTGTGGCCATATTTGATTTGTGTTTTGTACCCTGTATTATGTTTAAGGTCGATTTTGTCGTAGTGGTCAAATGTGAGAGGCATGATCACGCTCTAAATCCAAGTTGGCCTGGGTTGTGTAGGTCATTGGTCTCCATGAAACTGGTGACCTGCTTGATACCTGATTGATGGGGTTCTGGGAGTTCTTCTACTCCCCAAGCCCGGATCGAGGCCAGGCTTAACTTGTGAAAGTTTGGTCCACCAGGCTGTTGCTTGGTGCGGCCCGCAGGCCCACATACCCACCACAGCCCGGTTGGTCCGGCACTCCATGGAGAAAACTGTCTAGTTTTCTCTTGAAGATGTCTACTGCCTCCATCACCGAGCTGACTGCTGATCATTCTCTCAAATACTTTTATTATGTTGGACGTTAGTGCAACTGGTCTGTAATTTTTTGCCAATGCTTTGCTCCCTTCCTTGTGTAGAGGGGATATGTCTGCTGATTTAAGCATCCTCCTGGTACCTTGCATTTCTTCATAAATATTGAATTCCATGAATCTGGACCAGGCGCTGAGTGCATGGACACGTTCCGTCCTCCTGTACCCCGTACACCAGTTGCTTGTGTATCCTTCCACGTCCAATAATCACTCTTGTTTACCTTGAACTTATTACTAACTCACGTGACTCCCCCAAACAAATATTGAATTTAAGATAACCAGTTGTAGATGTGGAAAGTTAGTATTCATTAAATTAGACATATTTTTAAGACTCTTCATCAAGTAGTGTGTCGATTAGATCTATATGTTCTAGTGTGTGTGTGTACTCACCTAATTGTACTCACCTAATTGTGCTTGCGGGGGTTGAGCTCTGGCTCTTTGGTCCCGCCTCTTAACCGTCAATCAACTGGTGTACAGATTCCTGAGCCTATTGGGCTCTATCATATCTGTGTGTGTGTGTGTGTGTGTGTGTGTGTGCTGTTACGCATCACCACGTCTCTCCATCATTAATAACTTGAGTACTGTATGTGTACAGGTGTACGTGGAGATCGTGGACGTGAACGACCACCGGCCGCTGAGCTCATGGCCCGTGTACTGGCCGGGCGTGCCGGAGAACTCTCCCCCGGACACGGTGGTGGTCACCGTGGACGCCAGCGACCCTGACCCCGGCGCCAACATCACATACAACATCACCGCCGGCAACCCCCAGCTCCTCTTCACCATCGACTCCGAGACAGGTAGGTGGTGACGTCTCTCCTAGCCGTGACTCCTGGTTCCTCTCGTCGCCTCCTTGACTATAGGGAGAGGGAAGGGAAAGGAATTATCAGGGGAAAGCACCAAGCCATTACGAGTATATAGCCCTGGGAAGGGGGGGGTCAGGATAAGGATTTGGGATGGGACGGGATGAAGGAAGGAATGGTGCCCAACCACTTGGACGGTCGGGGATTGAACGCCAACCTGCATGAAGGGAGACCACCGCTCTACCGTCCACCCCAAGCGGTGGAGGTAGAGATAGGGAGAGATATCGTAGAAAGGGAGGGAGATCGTAGAAAGGTCAATGTAAAACAGGTGCGCCACAATTAGAGAATCATATGATAACGTTAGATCTTCAAGACCGTGTCTACTTGTATAAACAAGAAAATTCCATCGAAAAATATATATTTTTTCCCCGTTCTTGGGGGACAGGAATCGTGTTTAGCCTATCGAGGTTCTCATAGGGCCAACGACTGGTCATTCTTCAGGACACAACAAACACAGTTTACCTGGAGTAGGTCTGAGAGTTGTTCTACCTGCCTCCCCCCCAAGCTCGGCTTGCTGCCAGCCTTGTTTTGTGGTGACTGCTTAAAAAAAAGACTGTTCCTTGGATTAACTCCAATTCTTGTCCAGCCAGAGATGACATTCAGGATCGGCCGACAAGTTCCTGCAGGATGCATCTAATCAGTGAGGCTAATGGTTGGGTTCACACGTTTCTGGTTATGTTAACAGGTTGGATTTTGCATGTACAGGCAAATAAAGAAAACGGGACAATAATATAACTATTCTGACGTTAGAATTCTTTGTCTATATAAAGCGGCATTGTGACAAAACCAAACATGGGAGTCATGTAACGTTTAAATGCTGTATTCGAGTTCCAGAACCAGCGGGGTTGCACAAGCACGGAAACAAAATCGGGGCCCTGGAGCTCAGTCCGTCCAAACATAGTGCGGGGTGTACACATGCGCACAAACTCGGACACTTCGTCGTAGAGTTCAGTTTTATGTGTTGGTAACTCCAATTTATAGTTGGGTCGTTTATCTGGCGTGGAGAGAGTGGATTTGTTTAAGCTGTTGGCAGTGATTCTCCACACAGTCAAAACTTGTTTACTGCTCGTTCCGTTGTGGCAGCTTACCGTGCCTTCAACATTGGATTCCTCTCAAGCTTACCGAGCTCTCAACCCCGTCTTCCTCGCAAGCTTGTCGGGCCCTCATCAACACAGCTTCCTTTTCAAGCTTGTATAATCATTAGCCCTCCGTAGCGAATTAGAGTAAAAATGCCTATTGTTGCTTCCTTATTTTACACACCTGTTGTAGGTACAGTCTGTATTGACTTTATACAGAATACATCGATCCCTCCAACAGTCGGGTGAGTGCATGGTAGAGGGGATTTGTAAGTGTAGTGTAGTGTAGTGTAGTGTAGTGTAGTGTAGTGTAGTGTAGTGTGTGTGTGTGTGTGTGTGTGTGTATTCACCTAGTTGTTCTTGCGGGGATTGAGCTCTGCTCTTTCGGCCCGCCTCTCAACTGTTAATCAACTGTGCCCGTGACAGCTGACTAACTCCCAGGTACCTATTACTGCTAGGTAACAGGGGCATTAGGGTGAAATAAACTCTGCCCATTGTTTCTCGCCGGCGCCCGGAATCGAACCCGGGACCACAGGATCACGGTCCAGCATGCTGTCCGCTCAGCCACTAGCCCCACTCTACTGTGTGTGTGTGTGTGTGTGTGTGTGTGTGTGTGTGTGTGTGTGTGTGTGTGTGTGTGTGTGTGTGTGTGTGTGTGTGTGTGTGTGTGTGTGTTCACCTAGTTATGCTTGCGGGGGTTGAGCTCTGGCTCTTTCAGCCCGCCTCTCAACTGTTAATTATCATTTTTTTCACACACATTATGTTGTTACTCCAGAATGTTGTTATTTTACTGTGTAGATTTGAGACCTGGCCCTCCTGTATTGTCTACGTGTATATTATTTGATAAATATCTCGCCACCTTCTGCGTCCACGTTCTATTTTTAATCGATTTGTTTAATTTGTCTTTATTAATTTTCTTGCGTATGGATAAACTTGCGTAACGACAAACTCCGAAGCAATAAAGTCATAGTTGTAATTTGAAATGTTTCCACGCCCCAATTCAAGAGTTGGAGAGGTATCCACAGCGAGAGTTGGATAGTATCACGCTGGCACACTGCACAAGCCATGACTGGGCTTAATTACGGCCGAGGAATGATTCATGTTGCACATGGCGAGGCGCGGGTGTCCGCTCGCCACATGTGTGCCAGGTGATAAGGGGGGAAGATTGTACCTCTTGATTATGTATACGTGAACGTCACCTGGTGTGGAGCAGCATGTTTCCTGGTGCTTGGAACATTGAGGGGGGAATTGAAATGGGTCTATGTGTATTTTCCTATTTCACCTATTTTTGCTCCCTGTTTGTAGCTGCCGGATCAGTTTTCAGCTCTTGGGCCACGCCTTTGCTGCCGGAGGTCGACTAGTGCGATGACTGGCCACCTATAGTTTTCGCATCATATCTACTTTTGAAATTGTTGGATTTTTATGAGTATAAATTTCAGTAGGCAGAGCAAACCTCCAAACAGATGTGAAAAGGTTGTTAAATGGGCCTCAGAAACAACATAGTGTTCAGTGATGAAAAGTTCCGTCGTCTGGGCTATAGTAAAAATTGAGAAATCAAAACAGGAATCACAATAAAACGCAGTCAAATCACAATTTTGAAAAGCAACATGAAAGACACCTGCAGTAATCATGTCTGAAGAACTTACCTTTAAAGTTCACAATAAAGTAGCTGCCTCAATTACAAGAAAATGAACAGGTTAGATAACAAAAACGTTTTAAACAAGAGATACCATACCAGTGATTATACTTTTTAGGACACTAGTGTTATCTAGGGTAAAATATATTGATTTACACGCTAACAGCCCCATTCAAAGCTGGAGAAGTTGATGACATGGAAAACATGCAGAGAGCTTTTACTGCCCGAATTCATTCAATAAAACATTTAAATTGTTTGGACTGCTTTGCTTACAGTCTCTCAAATTTTAGTCCTCAAAGCACAAGCGCTATATATATATATATATATATATATATATATATATATATATGCGAACAAGCCTGAATGGTCCCCAGGACATATGCGAATGAAAACTCACACCCCAGAAGTGACTCGAACCCATACTCCCAGAAGCAACGCAACGAGTTTTCATTCGCATATAGTCCTGGGGACCATTCAGGCTTGTTCGCATTTGTGTTCCTCACGTGTGCCCCAAAGAATGAGGTGATTTGGTGAAATGCTATGCCCAAGATACCATCCGAGTTGCCGTCGGGGAAGTGGCTCAAATAGCCTCGGCTATCACTTCCTTTTGACGGTCGTGATGGTCAAGCGGATTAAGGCGCCCTGTAGTTACCAGTTGCGTTGCTTCTGGGAGTATGGGTTCGAGTCACTTCTGGGGTGTGAGTTTTCATTCATATATATATATATATATATATATATATATATATATATATATATATATATATATATATTATATATATATATATATATATATATATATATAGGTACAATTACATATAGGTACATATAGATCAAAGGTACAATTTCGTTCCAATAGGGTCTGAGACCCTAGGCCCATGGGGTGAGAGTGCAAGAAGGTTTCTTAAGGATCTTGGTTCCAAGCTCATTGACACCACAAGAGACCCTAGAGCAGCAAGTTTTCTCTTTCAGCGCCTCAGTGTCGCGATCCAGAGGGGAAATGCCCGCTGCATCCTCGGTTCCTGCCCGGCGTCGGAGTTCGAGGAAATCTACAGCCTCTAGGAAGCGAACTTTTTCTTGTGTCCTCTTAATGTTCATTTTTTGTATAAAATCAGATATGTAACTGTATAACCTTGCATAATAAAGTGTACATCATAATAAAAAAAAAGGGGGTGGTAGGAGAAGTGAACACTCTTTCGTATTCAGAGTTAAATGTCAAGTTTTTCCTGAGTGCTCTGTGTTCCCTTCTCTGAGGGTGTGGGTCCCTATAATTACACCAGTGGTGGTACCCCCCTATATATATATATATATATATATATATATATATATATATATATATATATATATATATATATATATATATATATATATATATATATAAAAACTGAAAACTCACACCCCAGAAGTGACTCGAACCCATACTGCCAGGAGCACTCTGCAACTGGCGTACAGGACACCTTAATCACTCGACCAACACGACCGGACAAAAGAGGATGGTAGCCGAGGCTAATTCCCCATCCCCCCGCCGGGACTCTGATGGTAATCTTGGGCATGGTATTTTATCAAATCACCTTATTCTTTGGGGCACACGTGAGGAACACAAATGCGAACAAGCCTGAACGGTCTCCAGGCATATATCAGTCTGGAGTCAAACTCTTGCGTCTTGGGTGTGGTTGTTCGGATGCCAGGAAGTCTGGTCGAGGACCGGGTCGCGAGGACGTTGAGCCCCGAAATCATCGCAAGGTAGGGTGGTGTTGAGGTTGTACGTGTGGAAGTGCGATAGCCTGTGTTGGTGTTGTATTGATGGCGGTTGTAGCTTGGTTGTCAGAGTGTGGTGGTGGTGGTGGTGTCAGGGGGATATGGCGACGTCAGGGTGTGATGATGTCAGGCTGTAGTGTCAGTGGTGTATCAGGGTGTAGTAGTGGTGGTGTCAGTGGTGTATCAGGGTGTAGTAGTGGTGGTGTCAGTGGTGTATCAGGGTGTAGTAGTGGTGGTGTCAGTGGTGTAGTAGTGGTGGTGTCAGTGGTGTATCAGGGTGTAGTAGTGGTGGTGTCAAGATGTTAGTGGTGTCAACAAGGGCAGGGCTCAGCACTATAATCCCGTGGGTCAATATTACTGCCGCTGACGGCATCATTACTACATCAAGCACACAAGTTGTATATGTTAGTAATTTACTTATTGGGCGGGAATAGGTGTGTGGCGCTCCTGACGGCTTGTCGGGTGGTGGT